GAACTGAACAGCCTGAAGAACTACTTCAAAAAGAAAAACAATTTGGCATTTAATATGTAGCGAACAATGAACCAATGAACTGGAAATCAAGCATTAGGGTGGAAAACTGCAGCTGTACTGAGTTGGTACCTGCAAGTATTCGCTTCTGAAACTGGGTAACAGCTGTAAAAGGTGTCAGTGGTTACTGGAGAGATTCTGTTTGTATTCCCTCAAATCACAGGGCTGCCACCACGCAATTCTTATTTCTTCTTGGACCCACCGTATCTAAAAAACAATGATTCTCTTGTGCTGTGGAAGGGATGGAATGTGAAATCCCATCCACATCCCAACAGAATCCCACAAACATTTTGGCAGGGAAAATTTATTATGTAAAGCCCAGATGGCATCCCAAATATTTCTACTTCAAAATTCAGAACTTTTTTTTTTTTTTTTTTTTTTGCTTAAAATAAACTATACAAAATTAACTGTGCAAGAGCATCAGGCAAGGTAACCAGACTTAACTGAGCAGTTATTTGGGCTATGGGAAGAATGGGAATGTGGTTTTCTCCATTTAACTCCATTGTCAGAAATGAATAATATTTTTCTATTCAACTACATTTGAATGACTGGCAGAGAAGGAAGATATAATAAGCAGATACATCCAGTAACATATTCTACTTGGAGAAGAACTTTTCCAGTTATCTAAAGCCTAAGAGTTTTGCCACCAACTTCTGCAGCAACATTTCAAACTTTCAGAAATGAATTTGCCATTTTTTATTTTTCCTTATTATTCTAATGGGGTGCTTTCACTTTTTTTCCCACTATGCAATTTCAGCTCTGAATCCGGGAATATGGGCTTCAAAGTGGTTTTCAGCTGCTTTTGGTTTCACCAAAGCAGCTAAACCTGATTATCAGTTCAGTTTAAACATGGATTTTAGTCGCTGCCCACCCCTTTAGGCTCTGGGATGAAGATCGATCCCTGATTCCGACTGTCATTTTGCAGTGAGCCCACTCCTACATTCCTTTTTATATCTATCACTTCACTGAATGCCAAAGAAATCTCAGTGTACTTGGCATGGAGGCTGCACTTCCTATATTTATGCTCCCACTAATGTATGCTCCGTTTTAGTCCTTTACCAGCTTAAAATCATCCCAGGGAAGACGGCACAAAAGCGCAAAACACTCCATGCAACTGTTTTACTTACACAAAACACTGATCACCCACACTGCTTTCCATCGCCACCTTTTTCCTGGATTTTATGTTTAAATATACCCAAAATATGAACCGTGGCAATTTTCTTACAGTATGCACAGTCATGTCGTGCTTGCTGCTCCACCTCAGACTCTCAGTACTTCCAGAAAATAAATCAGTACTTTTTAATTGTACTACCTTAACTCTGCTGGCAGAAGCACATTTGATTCTTCAAGGCAGATGAAAAGTGAAATGCTCTCTCTCCAGGCAAGAATTCCTTATATCTGGCAGGCTAGCACTTCATCCTTTTTAATTATTCCACAGGTGGTTGCCTTGGAAACTGCCAAGCAGCTCTCGGATTTGAGGGATCCAGCATCAGAAAAGTAACAAGCCTCTGCAGCCACGGCATCCACGCTGGCTGCAGCAACAGGAATCAGAACAGCCACGAAAACCTGTAAGAGATGGTTAAAATAAACAGGGATTAATCACACGGCTCAATTCTTCAGACATAAAACACAGAGAATGCCGACAGCCCCTGAACAGCGGATGCAAACTGCGTTTTAAGGGAGACACGGCCGGCGCAGCTTCCCAGCACAGCCCTGGATTTCACCTTCGGAGGACAGCACTGGAATGGTAATGCTGAAGGACCTCACGAGTTCAGGCTCTCAAGATCCAGCAAGATGATATTTTCCTCAGCCTTCAAATAGGAGACCTTCCTGAGCATCTGGTCCAACTGCCTGAAATTCAGTGCTATTGTTTAGCTTTGAATAAAAATAGAGCGACTATAAATAGCTCCCACCGCGAATGCTGAATCACTGTTATTCCGTATCGTACAGCAAATTCTCCCAACTTCATTTAGCTTCTAAAACTAGGAAAATTTCTCTTTGCTTAAAACACAACTACAAGCCTAGCAAAGCGTCTAATTCTGCTTTCAAGCCGCTGGTCTGAGAGTGCAGAAAATTTTCCTCTCCCTCTCTGATTTCTCGTTACTTCAAAAGCTGATAACTCGCGCTTCAATGTATAAATCAATCCTCCACAAAACCAAACCAAAGCAAAACCTAATTACATTTTCTGTCTCTGGTCAAGATTACAAAATCTCATTTTTTTTCAAAAACCTTCTTCTTTTGGTTTACCCGTTTTCACTTCTTAACCGAGAAATAATTTAGCAATACTCCTTAGAAAAATCATTTTCATTCAAACTTTCAGTCACATAAATGGTCACTCCCACACCCGGAGGCCTCCCTATCTTTGCTGATATGATTACTATGTCCAAGTTAACAATGATTTCTCAACACTCATATGGAAGTACTTGGATTAGTGGTATTAGCAAACTGCCTGGCAGGAACTCAAGTAAGACGTGGGTTTTCCTTCACCCTCCCATAAAGAGACACCCAAAAGACACAAGAATATGATTGTTAATACTAGAGCTGAGTCTTCCTAGAACAAGTTACAGTAATTATGTATTATTTATTGCACAGAAAAAAACTCAGGTGAAGTAACAGAAATTAAAGAGTTTATGAATGATCTCCCCAGTGCACACTCTGCACTCTCTTTTTTGCCTTCATCAATCACTTGCCTGATTGAAAATTAGGACATGGAGCTATTTTCCTCCTCTCCCTTCTTCCCTCCCCCATCGAATCCCACCAAGAACACAGCACATTTGACGTATTCCTATACAGGTTGCCTTCTTCCTAGTGAGTCCCACAGGTTTTCCTTCCTTGCTTTCCCCTGCACATCTCCTTCAGCCACATAATTTTTCCCCTTTACGAACAAGGTTTCTGACATGAGCTGACAAAACCAGCCATTTTCTTTCCCTCCCACCCCAGCAGTTCCAGGAGTGAGACCTACAGAATCCTCTGCGGGTTCATTTAGGATGAACACGAGTTTTCTGAATCCCCCTGTCCTGCCAGCCCAGGGTGCACCTGCCATCCACACCATCCATCCTCTGGGAGAGGCAACGTGCCTCCCTTTCAGCTCCTCAGGTTTGGTTTGCTCAGCATCTTTCAGGGATTTTTCCCTGCAGAAGCGGCATGCCAAAATACTGTGGAATATCCAGAGCATCTCTCTGTTCCTCCTCTTCACAGTTACAGCTATAACCACCACATGCAGGACAAAACACCTTTTCTGCCCCAGCTCTCTCGAGTCCTCTTTGACAGACTGAGTCTCCAAAGCCTCAAAATGACCCTTTTATCACAGACGGATCTTTCCTTTGAGGAAAGGTAGATTTTTTTTCATCCCTGCCTCAGGCATCTTAACATTTCAAGCACATCTCACTCTGCACTTATGGCATCATTTCTTTGCTTCTCACAGGACAGAGAGAGAACTCTGTCTATGATGTCAGCTCGGAGTGTTCACCTATCATTGTTCCAGCCAAATCCGGTACTTTACCAATTCCCCAAAGTTAATCCTTTTAACCCACTGAGATGCTTCCAAAACCAGGACATCCAGTTCTCAGCAGGCTCTAATGCCTCCCATTTTCATTTGCTTTATTCTCAGAGCAGCAGCATCCTGAGATCAATTCCAAAGTTCTGTTGCAAGTCTTCTTCTAACTTGATTTAAATCCTACACCGTTCTAAAGGAACATCTCAACAAGCTGATTTCTGGAATCTTCACCCATTGTAGGTGATGAAACTGTTGCATCTTTTCCCTATCCTCATCATCTCAGAGCAAGTAAATAAACAACTTCAAAGGCTGTAAAAGATGTCTTGCTAGCTTTTTCCTTTTTTTTTTTAAATTTATTCTGGAAAACTTTGTAAGATGTAATAAATATGCTCATTTTAACACATACTCTTCAGATATCTTGCTTCTGTGAGCAGCCCCACCTGTGCACTGGCTTATCTTTGCCATGTTCCTCCTGTTCAAGCTTCTTAATCCCAGTTCTGTCTCTGCCAGTGTGCTGATATGACTTGGTTCTTGGGGACTCTACAGATAAAGGTCAAGCATCAGAGCCATGAGACGAATAATCCATTGCCCAACTCCAATTCCTTTTAATTTCTATAACGTTTGCCCCTCTCAGGTGCCACAAAGGCACCTGGGCCACCAAGGAGCTCCACCAGTTGAGATTCTGGCCAACCCTTTTCTAGACTTAAGGGAATGTTTCTGTGCCACTGCCTCTTCAGAACACAAATCAAATCTTCTGCCTCACTCTTCAGGGGACACAGATCTTTGCTCTTTTCCAGCCCCCAAGCCCCAGGGCTGCCTCAAGGCTTGTATTTATCTCCACCACCACTGCAGTGAGACCCCGGGTTGCTGAGTGATGGAGGAGCTGCCTGTTCCCTCCTTCAGAACGAGTATCACGAAACACTAAAAGCACTGTAAACTGCAGAGCTCTGTGTTATTAGCAAAATACATAAAACATGGCAATTGTGAATAGTAAAACTAAAAGCAAGATGAATAAAATACTTTTAAGTAACTCCCCCGGTCCGCTGCGGTTTCACTCAGGTTTTTTTCAGGATTGTTCTCAATCCATTAACAACCCAGTTTTGCAAATCCCTCTTTGCATCCCTGAAATAAGTCTTTGTTTCCACGTTTGAGTGTGCACCAACCCTGCCGGTTTTCTCCTCTTCCATCTCCCTTCCTGCCGAAGCCTCTTTTCTGACCAGTCTCTATCCAGCCCTCCAAAAAGCTGCTTCCCAAAAATACGCTCAGATGCTCTCAGGGAATGCCAACATCTCCCTCCCACCAGAGACTGGCAGCTGATGGCAAATACAGCAACCAGGACAGGGAACCTTCCCCACACCGTACTCAGCAAAGACACAAGGAATTCACACACCACTCATGGTGCATCCCACACCGGGGTTTCCAAAAAAGGACCAAAAGGTCAGCTCGCCAAAACCTCAATTAGCAAGACCAGAGTTCTTAATTCCCTTTTTTCCCCCCCTGCAGAATTTCCTGTTTGGTTTACGCAAGGTACATTCAAGCCACGACGGTGCTTCACGGAGCAAAGTTCTTTGTCCTGCTCTTGGTTTCATCCACAGCTCAATTAATAACTTGGAAAACTTCATGACCACTCATTTTAAAATTTTGGGTTGACCAGTTATTAATTTTTTTGTTTGTTTTTTTTTTTTAAAAAGTTTTCAGAACTTGCTATGCACGAAACTGATACACAGCCACAACCACATTCCTCAGCGAACCAGAAAAGTGATGTTTTCCTGACAACTGTACTTTTTGGCATCTGCAGGAGGCACACAGACAGCTTTTACCAAGCACAAAACTTACTCTGAATTTAATATTTTGCGTATTTTTAAAATAAATGCATTGTAGATCACAGACACAACAGCAAAGAGGGACTGCAGTCAGAGGGAGCCCCACTGCTCTCTCGGGAAAATAAAAGTTAAAGACTCCCACTGACTCCAAAAGCAGTGGAATAAGGTTCCAGAAGCAATTAATCCTTTGAGATTTTTTTTTCCTTAAAAGAAATCCTCTTATTTCAGCACTGTTTATTGATCTTCCCTTCTTACATCCTTTATTTTCCAGATGAAAAGAAGTTAAATGGTGTTTTAGCAAGAGATGTCAAATCTGGATACTTCTTTTTTACTACCTGAAATATAATAAGGAGAAAACAGCAGCAATCTTCTGAAAACATTAATGGCTTGCAAGAATCCCACCCTTTTCACAAGGAAAGAAAAGACCCTGTAAAGAAAATTATTTGCTGTTTACTATGATGAGGTTTTAAGGTTTACTTGCAAATGTTTGGTAAATAAAAAAAGACATCTTCCTCTTAAATTATTTTGAACCACAAACAACTATATCAGACTGCAAAGCCTTCTTTAAACTGTTCCACCTCCAGTGAAGATCATCACAACTTGGCTGCTCTACAGATTCACCAGGCTAATACACATCTGCACAATGAATACTGAAACAAACAAAAAAAAGAACAGAAAAAAAACAAAAAAAAACCAAAACAAAACAAAAAACACCCCCCCCCCCCAAAAAAAAACTTTTGCTGTCTTCAATAAAAAAAAAACCTAAAGTGAGAATTTTAAATGAGAAATATGGGAACTTCCCCTATAAAAATCACAGGTGGCCAGAAAAAAAATTGAGCCAAGCAGTTTTCCCACAGTTTCAACAAAAATATTGTACAAAATAGATGTAAAAAAGAACCATCAAGACATTGCCTGGGACAGGACTAGTTCAGAACAGGTGCCAACCAGCAACTGCATGAAGGGAAATGAGAAGGTAACCAAGACAGGTAACACAGTCTGGGGGCTCAGTCAGTAGAAATAAAGATATCTGAAAAAGGGAATCACAGATTAATTTAGGTTGGAAAAAGCCCTCCAAAACCATCTGAGTCCAACCATGAACCCAGCACGGCCAAGATGCAGCAGCAGAACATCCTCAGGACAACTGTGGCTGGGCAGCTTCGAGAAGCTGAATTTGGGACAGCCCAAAATCAGAGGTCACTTTAGAGATGTTTATGAGTTGAATTACACTGGCAATGGGTCAGATCTCA